CCCCCGCGGCGGTGTTAGCAGCGGCCGTGCCCTCCGCAGCTCCCTTCTCCTGTGCAAACTTGTGGGGGATGTTTGTCCCCGTGCCCCCGCCCTTCCGCTGGTGTTAGCAACAACCGTGCCGCTTTAGAGTTCTCATTCTCCTGTGGAACATGTGGTTTTTGGAGCACACTGATTCTTGGGAAGCTGTAGAGTGTAGGGAAAAGCACTCTCAGGGGGAAAAAAGAAAAAAAAGAAAGCTAAAACCAAAACAAGTCCCAGGAAAGAGCGGCTTGTTGATGGCTCTGGGCAGCTCTGAATATCTGGGTGTTACATGGCGGGGAGTGTGGTGAAAGCGGAAAGTTTTGACATTAATTATGTTAGGATTGTACTCTTTGCAAAGTTTTCTGCATATATCCAAGCTGGGAACACAGCAAGGAGCTGTATCATCTCCTGAACACTTTGCAGAATTAGCTGTGTTAGGCAGTGCCCTGTTACCCTGGAGTCGGTCGCTCCATATTCCCTCGTCCTGTGACCCCGAACAAGCACTGCCATACATAAAAGAATACCTGCTGCTGAGAGGAAAACACGAGATGCCATCCACAAAACTCGAGTGCAGATCCAGGAAGTTTATAAAGTCTATACTGAGAAATTGCCCGGGTATTCCTGGTTGCTTAGCTACCCTTGTTCCCAAACTTGAGGGGCTGCTCCGAGGCAGAGCTGTGAATTTCCACTCATGGATGGCCAGGGTGTCACCGTGGCGCTGTTGCTGTGCTGTCTCAACAGCTGGTGTTTGTCTCCACAATGCCAAGGCCAGCCTGGTTCCTGGAGCAGAGCAATGGCCTTTCCTTTTCTGTTCCCACTGACTGTGAGCTATTCCTGTGCCAGGAGTGAGTACAGGGAACACATTTCCACAGGGTCAGGTTTTCAGGCGTGGGGTATTTGTTGTTTACCCTGCTCTCAAGGCTTCAAGTGAGAATGGAGACTACTCTTACACAAATGTCAATACTGGCTTTTCATTTGAGGAATTTTTTTTCCTTGGTGTTTTCTCACTTGATATGTTTTTTGGGCAGCAGTTCTTTCATTCCCCAGTTGATCTTTATCAGCTAAAGCATGATATTTTTGGTCATATTTTGTGTGATGGACTCACCAGCCTTCTAACCATCTTAGGGACGGGAGCTACTCTTCCACTTTGAGTTTGCATTGATAAGAGTTCAAAATTGAACCCTAACTTTGAACCTAATTTTGACTTAGGTGATGTAGGGAAAAAAATAGTCCAACATTCATCCTATGTATCTTAATATGAGTCAGGGTCATTAAAAATGTTAAAATACATGAATCCCAGTATACAGAGAAGAATGTTTTTAGTGGTAACCTCAGCTTTATGCCTTCTTTTTTTCACGTTATTGATGCTGTCCTTTGGCCAGTTCTGTACTGTCTTTGATACTAATTATTCTTAACTTTTTCATCATAAATAATGATTCCTCATACTATATGATATCCTTTATCCAGAAAATGGATTTTCAAGAAAATGTAGAATTTTTCTTGGTTGATCTGTTTTTGTGGAACGTGTCCTACTGGGTTTTTTCCTAGTGATCCTTTCATCCATATCTTTATTTTTGTATATTTAAATATTTTGATCAATGGAGTTGTCAGTTTTCAGATCTCTCTTTCTGTCTCACATGGATTTTTGAGCAGATTCTACCTTCCCTGTTTTCATTACATTTCATTTTAGAAAAATTACATTCTTTCACAACATGTGCTGATGATGGTTCAGCCTCCCTGTGGCTCCTTGGTCCAGGCCTAGTGCATATTGAATGACTTTTGTTTCCATCATTTAATTCTTGCAGTTTTCTTTTTTCTCCTGTGTTAAATTTTATTAAAACCAAGGCAAAATATTCAGTTATGTTTGGGACACAGATTTGTTAGCTTTCGCATCTTGGCTGATTTATGCAATGTCCATTAATTCTCTCTTTGTTTGTTTTATTTGTGACCAAAGTCTTGTCCAAATTTCTGATTTATTTTCCTGCTGTTTTTACAGTGCTCTACATATTTCTCCACCCTCTTTGAAATCTGTCCAGTTTTGTCAGAAGTTCTGCCCTCTGTTTTACCCTTTCCTTAGGATACTGATGGGTTTTGGTTCCTTTGACTTAATGAAATTCCAAGATCATCTCCAATCTGAGTCCACCAGCTCTTTGGTTTGTCTTGCTGGTAGTTTCCTTCATTTCTCTTGTCAAATGGAAGGCCTTACTTAAACACTGAGTAGGTTTTTTGTTTGGTTTATCCTGCCATGGACTGTGTGTAATAAGTGCTCTAGAAGGTTAAGATCAGTAGAATTCCGTCCTTTTCTGTGAGCTTAATTCAGTGATTTCTTTATGGCTATTTATGATGTCCCAGCAGTGGAGCGACTGGGAGCTGGTACACATTTTCCATCTTCCTGGGAACTTTCAGCAGAGATATCCAGCATAACCCTGTCCTAGAAATTTCTCATGGTCCTTGGGGTTGCATGTGAGGTCAGTTAATTGCAGCACTGATCTCCCTCTTCCTTAGCTGATCCATAGATAACACTCTTACCTTCTTTAAAATAGTCCCTCATCCTGCTGGAGCAGTCTGCAGTCAGATAAGAGCTTCATTTGTCTCCCAAGTGTTATGGAGCTCTGCATGTTACAGAGTGGGTGTCATGAACTGCAGATATGCATGTGTCATTCATTATTGGAACTGCTTTAAGCTTACATGGCCACATAGATTTGGTGTTGCAGCCCAGGTGAGGAATTGTGCAGTTTATCTCACAATTCACAGGGTAGTAGAATCACAAGTTTCCACATGTGCTACCTTGACCCACACGCTCATTTGTAAGAATTTGTTTTCTTTTTACAGGATAACCAGAAAAATGGCACCTGTTGTTTGCAGATTTGCCCGTTCCAGCATCTTCAGATCTCTTAATAAATAGGCAAACATTGGTTCCCTTCTCTGGGGTGAAAAGCACAAAACTCCAGCTTAAAATGGTTGTAAATTCTACAAAAATATCGAAGACAAAAGTGAGAAGTAAAGCTGATAGGACATGAAGGATGTAGTTTGGGGATCTTTCCTTGTATGAATGAAATCTGTCTCTCTCACTCCTGTTCACACTTGCAACTGCATGAGTGTCATACAAGCTGTTTAATGCTTGACAGACTGTTTCAATTGGGTTATCCATTATTCTGGCACTTTTCTTGTAAATTTGAAGCCCTCATTTATATGGAGAGGAAACCCTTTTTTTACCTTATGCTTTATCTGTAGTGATCTATCACACATTGTTTTCTTCTAGTTCTTCCACCTTTTTAACTGCTGTTTATATAGCTTTCTTTTAAATCTAGTTAGGATTTCTCAAGTAAAATGTTCATTTGGGAGTAGGAGACTGTAACCAAACCACTTATTTTAATTCCCATCACTCCTCCTTTGTCTTTCTTCCTGGCAATTGAAAGTCTGAACACATTCTCCAGAAACCTTATGCTGGAAGAGACAACCTCATGTTTCTAATGCTGACATAAAAAATGAGCATGAGACCTTAAGTGAAAGGTGTCAATTCTCTGTCAGGGAAATAAAATAAATCCACGTGGCTTGGAGAAAATAGCAAATAGTTTTGGAATGAGTTGTGTACATTCTTGCAATCAGAGCTTTAGAAACAGACTGACTTCTTAGTCAAAGAATTTCAGAATTGTGCAGAGAAAGTTGAGAGATTTGGGGCAGTATATGGCAGCCTAGTGAGAAGCCTTCCCTGCTTTGAGTTTAAAGATGGCCAAACTTCCCAGAGAAAGGAAGAAATGTGTCTCGTACTATTGGAACAACAGTTGCTTTTTCTCATTTACAGACAATTTGCAAATAAACTTGCCCCTTCTGGTGGCTGGACAGAGTATGGATATCTAAGCACATAAATTTACCAGTTTCATTCCATAGTTAGGATGAAGTTTGGGTGGGATTTTGTGTTTTGGCCTCATGTACACTTCATTCTACATGAGTCTTCATATAGGAGATGATTGTGCCTTACACAGAGCATACCTTTAACTGTGCTAACCTGGCCTTGGGTTTCAGTTTTGGTTGAAGACAATGGAGTGTGTTTACTTAAGCAAGAAGAATTTGGTCCTGATTGTTTTAAAATGGTGACTTTTTTTCCTGACCAGTCTGTACAAATCGAATTGCTTTAGAGAAGGTTTATTTCACACTTGTCTGTTGCATCCTGACTTTCACAAATCAACCATTTCAGTCCTGACTGTTTCATTTTTATCTTGAAAACAGCCATTGCTTGTCTAGCTAAAGTTCAGTTTGTTTAATGAGTGTGTTACTCCTACAGATAACTTGTCCTGGAGTGCAGCTGAAAGACAAACAGGAACTTTATCTGAGTGTCTTTGTACTTGGGCAGTACCACAAAACTCAATGTGTCCCTGCAGTGTTCCCGCTCTTCTTTCAAGAAAGACTACTATTTGAAAAGGTAAGATATGTCAAGTGCTGGTACAACCTAAATAAACCCCATCAAAAATTCCACAAAAATTGTGTGCAAAACCCATGAGCACAAATAATCACACTGAGAATGGAGCAGTATTTTATCTCCTGCTTCTCTTTAGCACAGAGGAGGGGTGTGCCTGTATTATCCACATGGGGACTCAAGAATTGTGTGTACTGAAGATTCTAATGTGTGGTGAGAGTTTTTAGGTGTTTGTTGATTCTTTTGTGAGCTGTCCTTCCTCAGTGTCTGTTTTCCTGGCTTGAAAAGGACTGAATGTTTTTTGTTCTAAAAATTATGGCAAGGTGAAGAACAGAGACTGTACAATATAGGAGAGGCAACTTAATTTAGTAGAAAGATAAAATAGCAGCTCAAGCCTTTTTGGTGACATCTTACTCCCTTTGAGATACTCTTTTCATGGTTTGTCACCAGAATTCCCACATTGGTACTCTGGCTCTGTAATTTATAGTTGTTTATCACATTTTTGAGTCCCTACTAGCTTCGTTATTAGTACCACAGGGATAATGAAACACAGTATCTTACAGAGATGATCTGGCTTCTCCACTACCCATGAATAATAATACTTTGCCCTTTCTAGTTCTTTTCCTTTAAGCATTCCCCAGCACTTTGAAAACCAGGCTGAGTAAACTTGCTCAGAGTGATGCTCTGGTGAAGGGGATGAGAAACAAACAGTGATTATTTCACTGCCTATGAAGAGTAGGAAAGACCTTCATTCTTTAAAGGCAAACGTAACACAAACTTCTTAAGGGGAATGTACTGAATGCTGTTTTCAGTGTAATGTAGGGACCTCCATCCAGTGCAACATCCTCCCCTATTCCTTGATAACTATTCACATGGGATTCAGGTTAAAAAAAAACCTGAACAGGAGACTGAGAAGTCACCTCTGTGAAAATGAAGCTTAAAACATTACTAATAAATTAGAGAACATTGACCTATCAGAATTGTAATACATGCAACAAATTATGTTTCTCTCTTGAAATTTTCTTAGACAGTGCTTACCTTTACATCTTCAACACTTCACAATAAATTATTTTTTGTTCTTTACATACAGAGAAGCAACTCTGAATGGATAGAAAGTATATTACAAGAACTGCTGGCTTTCAATGAATTTGATCATGTTCCAAATGATCATTTTAATATCCTTTCTTTTTCCAGTAGGGATAGGACTCTTGACAACAATCTTGGCAAAGAAGAGCATTGATTTTTGGGTTTTTTTCCCTTCACTTTCCCAAGAGGTCCATCTGATTACATCTGATTGTGTCATCATTAGTATTACTACTACTATTGTAATTTTTTCTTTTTCAGGAATTTGCTAATATAGTTGATCCTGGAGACCTTGTGAAGTTACTGGAGTGTAAGTTCTGGGGTTTTGTATACTATGTTATATCCATAAATGTCATGTGTATATGGGCTCTAAAGATGTTTTGGAGGTTTAAAGTATGTGGTATTTTTTCTATCAGGAGCCTGTTCTCTTAAAAACTAGTGGGTAACCACTATTATCTAACAAAATGCCTCTAGAAATGCATGTTACATGCTATGGAACAGGAAAAGGGTAAAAAGTCATAAGTGATTGAAAGTCCACCTGGTTATCTGGTAGTGGATTCCTTTATATGGTTATTTATTTGATTAATTTTCACATTATAGAAGGATAAACCTGTAATTTTTCTAAAGTTATTCTTGTCATTTTAAGAAGATTATGTCTTGCTACATTTGTATAATGAATTGTGGTGAGAAAACACTGACCTGAACTCAAACTGCAGGAATATGCATCCTCACATGGGAGTTATCTGTAAAGGGGGCAAAGCTTGCATAGTCTTCTTTAAAAGAGGAAAAACTTGGCAGCAGAGAGAACTTACAAGTTCTAAGTCAGATTTAGTGTTGTCATTTGTACCCTGCTAATGCCATTGTGTTCATCTATGATATTTATGCAAGCTGTACTTAAATTTATCTTATTATTGGTGTGGTGGAAATAGTGCAGGGATGTACAGTGCTGTGAAGTTTAAATCGATGATTCATTTTTCTTGGGCTTTGATTATGGAAATTTTCATTTTAGGTTTTTTTTTTAACTCATGAAAAAACTTTTTTCCCTTCTAGTTGACACAACAGTACTTGAACTAATACAGCTCGTTCCTCCAGGTATTGTATCAGTCTTTTCATAAATTATGCAGTTTAATAGGTGAATTTCCAGGAGGACATTGCCCATTACAGCACAATCACTTTTTTCAACACACAAACAACATAGAAAGCCCTTCAACAAATAGTCCTCTGAATAGAAAATGTTAATAGATCAAGAGGATCTCATTCTTGAAAGGGGATAATAACGGAATATTTAAATGTATCATACTCAGGCTTAGGAATGTGATAATATTTTAAAAATGGAAAATAAACTGAAATCATCCAGTGCATAATTATTAACCGCATCACAATTCACTTCTAGAGAGGCTGTCTGTGAAATTTCAGAGTGCATAATCTTGTTCTCAGAGTGACACTTTTTTTCCTTCCATTTTAATGGTGACCAGTGGGAAAACTCTTATCCTCACTATAAGTATTACAGGTCTCTTGGGATGTGTGAAGATAATAAATAGTGATTTGTCATACTTCTGTTATTGGTTTGTGTGATTATAAAAATCTATTTTAATGAAATTCAAGTGTTCCCATGAATAATGTAAATCTGCACTTTATTGGAAATAAAGTCAAGTTTTAAAGAGGACTCATTTGGAAACTGTGGTATTAAAAGCACTCTCTCACTTGTCCTTAGTACTTTCAAGGAAACTACTGCTTCTCTCAGGTGACTTACCAGACTGTTTACTTGAAGAAATGTAGTGAATGGGGATTTTTTTTTTTTTTGTGGGAAGTAAAGGATCTTGCATAAGAATTTATTTTCAGGGCTCAGACATAGGTGTGATATAGCCCAACATAAGCTAGCAAGATGGCTGCAATAGCACAAGTTGCATTTTTTCACAATATACGTTGAAGGGTTTACCTCTAAAGAAAAACTTTTTAACTTTTTTTTTTTTTTAGAAGTAGCAAGACCGGGTATTGAGAAAATCTTGAAATAATTATTTTGCTGTTGCTTTTGGGTTTTTTTACTGCTACTGTTACTGTTCTGTAGTATGGAGTGGTAGTTTTTCATAAGAAATTGGGTGCCATTAAAAAATACTGAGTTTTTTTCTGCAGCATGGAAGGGAAAGAAAGAAGAAAAGTACTGAAAAGTTACCTGAAGAAATCCTTTCATGTGCCTGTTGTAGAAGAGTTAACACAATCTTCTTTAATTTTTTTTCCAGTAACATTGAAACATAGTTTCATAGTAGATTCTGCACATTTTTGCTGCTGATTTAACTTGATGATGTTATTTCCTAGTGCTATAGGAGTTTTAGAGCCATGCTGTTAATTTGTAAAGAGCAAAATTTATCCTGGTTTCAACATGGCTCTGTGTGTGGTGTCTGTGCTGCGTGGCTTTGTCTATTTTCCAATTAAACTGTGTATTTTCTTTTTAGTGGGAAAAGTTCTAGCTACATATGAAGAAAATACAAGAGATTTCCTGTTCCCTGACCCTAAGCTTACCCATGGACTCCGTGGTTTGCAGCGTGAGGTTTTAATGAAGAGGTCCCCGTCTTTCACAGTGAGTGAATGTCTGTGGATTGTATTTATGACACAGTCTGCTTCACTGAAGAAACCCCTTGAACTGCTTCAAATGAAAAGCGATTACTTCTGACAGATTTTGCCATTTTAAGGTGTTGAATGTACAAATCCACAGCTGAACTTCGGGGAAAGTATAATCTTTTTTCGGAATGCTTCAAGAAATTATTTAATGTGGAAAAGTTAGTTTCCACTTGATTTGCAGTGTGGCACCATGACATGTCTCCATTCAGTTTAATCTGTGATGCAGCTGGTGGCTGAAGGGATGCAGGAGATGTCATATTGACTTCATGGTTCTCAACAGAAGCCATGTAACCCTCCTCCTTGGTCCTTCTCCATAGCATTTTGGAACAATAGCTAATTGGCAGAATGAGTGCAGTGAATTAATGCTAATTTTTGGAGATAAGGGCTCAAGTACATGTTAAATGAAAATGAATTCATTTCACATTGCCCTTTCATCAAGTTTGACTGTTGAATCTTAATTGTCAGCAGAATAACCCAGGAAGGCACCTTAAGGAGGATGGTGATGTTGTGTTTTGAGGTTTTTGTGGAGTTTTACTGGTGGATTGGCAGGACATTTGGATAAGAACTCAGTTACTCTGTCCGTTGTGGTTGGGCTAAAAGCACATGGGAGGAGGGAAATGCTGATTAAAGTTCATTGTTATCTTTTAGCTGGTGTAGCCTTTCCCCAGAAAGGGCAACCTGGAAACTGCCCAGACACTTGCAATTAGAGGTGCTAATTTGGTGTCTAATGCTGTGTTACATTTGAATGAATTAAGGTTGTGATTTTGTGCTACAAAATGTCTGATTCTGCAGTAGCTTAAAAACAAAAACAACCATTATTTTTTGGCTGTAGTGTTTCTTTGATATGGCTCACCCCATGCATGGTGGTGTGGCTCAAGAGATGGGGTGAAACTGTTTTGTTTTCATGCTGCTCATAGAATAGGTGCCTTCCTGGTGTTGAGAAAGAATAGGGAGGTAGGAACAAATGAAGCGGTATTAGCTAAATGTTTTTAGATTTTTTTGTGAACAGAATATAGTGAGTCTTCATAGAAGCAGAGCTGCTAGACAAGTTTGATGGGTTTTGTCACACTGAGTTATTTGAAACAAAAATTATGTATTTTCTAATAAAGAAAAGGTGCCATAATTTGTGAGCTGTGAGAAGATGTGGTCAGAGTAATTTGGATGTGTAGGTGATGAATGATGACACTGTAGTAGCTTTAAAAATTTGACTGTGGTAAGACACAGACATACTTCATGTCCTTGGGAGCAGCATAACAAAATCCATCTCTGCCTGGAACAGGGACTGCAGGAGCCTTTGTTGCTCCATTCCATCTCCATAGTTTGAAAGTACAGTGTAAGAGAAGATTTTGGCATAGTGACCCCCATTTTCAGGAATAATGCAGAAGCTGGGCTTGATGGCGTTGGAGGGAGGCTCCCAAAAGGAATTTCTTGTTCCTCTCCTCGCTTGCCAAGTGGAATGGAATAACTATGAAAGGATTTTTACCTCCAGTAGAAATGCAGTCTCAAGTGCCTCCCTCTCCCAGTGTTCCCTGAGCTTTACTGGCAAGTGTCTCTTGCTAAGTCTGTCAGCACGAAGTGCTGGATGTGAATGCTAAGCAAAAGGAGGTGTTGAACAAGGTCATGAGAACCCTCACATTATTCCTATGCTACTGAAGCCATGTTCTTCCCACATGAAAAGTTATTTATAGCCAGCTGAGATGTTGAATATTTTTGAATGGCAGCTGTGCTTCAGTGACAGTTTGATTCCAAATAAATTTGTCTTTTATTAAAAAAATAAAGGTAGCAACAGTAAGATTACGGTTGTGGAGTTCAGATAGGCAGTGACAAGCAGTGTCTGATTAACACTGCTAATCTGCCAGTTGGAAGGAATCCCAAGTTGAGAGGATCAAAACTCCTCCAGAAATCTGGCACTTGGCTGATAATGTCCCTGGCTAAATGTCTTACAAGGTTTACAAACTCAGTGTGCATGCAAGACATGCCTCAAGTTATCTCTCCCAGTCCAGTGTTGCCCAGCTGAGGCTCTTGCTGGCTCTTCTGTATTTCTCTGCAACCTTTACCTTTCAGAATATGCTTATGCCTGGACTGTGGTCATGTTTTCTTACAGATGTTCTTATCTCCATTCCCCACCTTCATGCAGTATTTGCTACATTACTTAAAACAGTTTCTATTTTGCTATGCTATCTTCCATTAACAGTCCAGTGCAAGGCCTTCTGTTGTATTCCTGTATACTTTTTTAAGCTAAAGTGTTACTTGTGTTCCTTACAGTCAAAAGCACATATTAGACTTGTATTCTTCTAAATGTGAACCACCTTTATACTTTTTCTGTGGTCAAATTTGTATTATGTCCCTTCTGTTTAATGAATGGTGCAGAAATGCTCAGGGCTGCAGACACCACTAAGCCAGAAGCAGAAGAGATCCCAAAAGCTTTCCAGCTGGATTTTCATTTACAGATGTGTCTGGGGCTATATGATGGTATTTACATAATTCTGTGTTGAGTGTCCTACAGCAGCCCTTGATTTGGGAACTGCAGAAAACAAGCAGCAAATTGTCTGATGGCTTTGGCATGTGAGTTGCTTTTGACATATCCATGCCTGTGCATTCAAATGCCATCCCATATTGCCTCTCCACAGACAGTTTCTCAGAAGAAGCCATAGTTTGTGTCATTTTTTAGGGATGAACACTTAACAATTTTGTAATCATTTCCAGTCTCTGTGAGAGCAGTAAGTGCTCTATTGTTGCATTTTGTAGTAGACTTACTAATTCTATGTGCTTTTTTAAATTGTTGATAGCACTTGACAATTCATTAGTAATAAAAGCGAGTTGATTAAAGATGATCAGTCTTAAAACCTCTTTTATGTGCCATAACTTGACTTGATTGAATCCTGGACTCTGTTAATTGCTGTGACTGAGCTTTCTTGGCATTTTTGTCATTTGATTTCCATAATCTATCCTGGGGCCAGATCATGTTCCCTAATGGGAAATCAGTGTTTAGGCAGGTGGTAGAGAATAGTTTGGTTAATCAATAGACTTCACTCACAAAGTTCCTGCTAATTCTTATAGATGTGGGATAAAGTCACAAACAGACCAGCTCCTTTTCATGTCTCAGTGATTTTGTATGTTCATGTGCACAAATGCCTGTGCACTGAGATGCCTCAGGCACCAAATTCTGTCCATGTTGAAAGAGGAGGGGGTAGGAATTTCTGGGGGCACTTGATTTTCTCTTGGATTCTGCAGAGCTGTATAGGATGCACATAGATGATTGCCGCTTGTTTATAGCATATGTGGCATTTCGTTCTTTTATGCCTTTTTTTAGTGCTGCTGTTTGGGAAATAATGCTTGTGTGTTGTAATCCCTGTCCTTTACACCCAGTAAATTCTGAATGCATTGGCCAATGCTCAGTGAATAGGAAGGCAATAGTTTTCTGAGGTGTTGTGTTCCTATCCATGGCTGCAGTAAAAGGTGAGTGGAACAGAAGCTGCTAATCATGTAAAAATGGTGGGATATGCTGGCCATCACTCTGTGTGTTCTGTGCTTCACCAGGAGGCCCAGTGGGACCCCAGTGATTCCAAGTGGGACAAACTAGGGCTGCCCCATGGGCAGGAGGGGATTGTGGATGTGTTCCATGCTGATGGAACAAGGGAGGCATCCACAGAAATCAGACTACTCCAAAGATTACAGAATGAAGGGTTTTCTTAGTCATACTGTTAAAAAGGAGTAGTTATCTGCAGTGTGATTGACTGATTAAACAAAATGTTTTTACAAATGAGATGGCACAACTGAGACTGTTCTCAAACAAGTTTACAAAGTTAGTATTAATGAAACTTCTAGAGCATGACTGAAATTTTTATTGATGCCATACAGCATGGCATGAAAAATCTTTAAAAGTGATTTTGACAAAAAAATGTATTAAAATAAAAGTCAGACCTTAATTGTTGTACAAAAGCAGTGTAATCATCTGTAATTGAATTGTCAGAAATGCAAATGTTAGCATCTTGACATTTACCATTGCTGTTCTGTCTTTTCTAATTATCTTTATTAAAGGCTGAAATTAACAAAGGAAATGGCTGAAAATTAGGAATGGTTTGTTACATTAGGTGACATTTACCTCTTTGATACCCTTTATCTTGAGTTGAAGCTTGATATGCAATTATTGTCTCTCTTCTAGGGAATTGCACCAAAATTGAGATTTTCTACAACCTGCCTTATTTCAGACAGTCTGTTAATCTTAGGAAGGAGTCACATACAGGTTAGCACAATTTAATTGTTTGCAATTTCTAGATTTAATATTGATAGCCTTGCTTCCAATTTTTCCATGTGCTGCTCACTTCAAACTTTCCTCATTCTTTTGTTGTGGTTAAAGCAGGTATCACAGGTGCTTGACAACTTGATTAAATTTTTAATCAAGTATGAGTAAAGAGTGGGTTTGGTGCATGACAGTAGATGCTGAGAGTTCCTTGAATCTGAAACAATTATCAGCTGCTGTGTTCTATGATCAGCTGAAGTGTCAGTCCCTGGTGCATTGGTACATGGGAAAATGCCTTCACATCATTTGTTACTGACACTTAAAATTAAGGACAGTAAAAACTAGGTGTTGTTAGAGAAGGTACATTATTAAACCAAACCAATTAATTTCATGGTTTTCCATAACTGTATCACTGACAGTAATGGAAATGCAGATTTTGTTGAAAAGACTATCACCTGTATTAATCTGGAAGTGCTGCTTTTGCACCAAGTAAATTTAAAGGTGAAGCAGCACTCTTCTCTGGTCTCACAGATTGGAATTTTGGTTTGGATTTCTGGATTTACAAGCTGTCATGTAAAGTTACTCTTATATCCTCCTTCTTCTGCTGTAATATTGAAAAATGGTGCAGCATCATTGGAAGGGAATGGTTGTCAGGAAGGCTTGTGTGCAAAGACACTTAGGTGCCTTTGACCTGTTGGTGGCATTGCTAATGACTTCAATGAGAAGTTTCTTCCAAATTTAATAAATGAAATGTATGGAGACAGAAAAAAATTTAAAAATCAGTGAAAATTGTCATTGTCAGAAAATTGGCTTCAGTGAAGGTGACTTGAGTAAGGGCAAATTGATTTAAAATTTAAACTGTTCCTAAAAGTATCGATGAATGGCAGCTCAGATTCACTTGTGTTGCAGTTTTACAACTGGTGTAAGCCAGGAGCAGCACCACCTGCTTCTGGTGAAGTTGAGATTAGTCTTAGAGAATTAGGTCTGGCTTTGTGTGGCCAGGTCTGTCTCACCATCAGTTGCACCAGTGAGTTCATATTCTGTCAACACAAAACAAACACACAGACTCAGCCTCACTGGCTGGCTGTAGAGGGAAAGCCTTGAGGGCAAGCTGGACATTTTATTTCTGGGTCCCTCTGAACCAAAGCAGTCCATGTAACATTCAGATCTAGGGCTAATGTCAGCTAGCTCCAGCTTGAAAAAGAATTTCTGACAGAAAAAGTACTGTTTTTCTCCACTAAACTTTACACTTAAAAAAACTAATAAATTCACCGTAATCCAAGAAAGTATTAATTTTAGAGAATGTAATTGCACTCCTTCTGGAGCTTTAGGCAACTCTATGCATATAATTTAAACTATTAAAAAGGCTCCTCTTTTAATTTATGTCTTGTACTTTAAAGAGGAAGAATTTTAAAATAAAAGCTTAAATAGGTGAAAAGTGCTTCAAATCTGTGTATGGCTATATCAGGTAAACTTTGTGACAAAATTAAATTTAATTTTTAGAATCTCCACTAACTGTGTGAGAAAGTTAATTGAATAAGTATCAGACGCTTAGCATCTAACATGCAGTACACTGGGTGTTTAACCTTCTTTTGGTTTCAGAGAAAATGGTGAACGCATTGGTTTTTAAATTGCTGTTTGATTACAGTTTTGTGAGGGGAACTTCAGCTGCCATAGCATGTCCTTCTGGTAGAATCATTAGTTCCTTGTTCGCATTATGTCCAGCAATCTTTATCCTACACTCTGCCAAATCAGATTATTTCCCTTCTTCACTGCAGACTGATAGGCACTGGGTGCATCATCCAGCCCCAAGTGGAAGAATGCCCTCCAAGCTGGCCAGGAAGAGCCCTCCTTCAGCGGAGCAGAGCTCGGCCCTGCGGAGCTACGAGCAGCCCACCATTGCCTCCAAGTCGCGCTCGCCGTCCCCGTACACCAAGCGCCGCATGTGCGAGCTGTCGGAGGAGGCCAGGCAGAGACTGTCCCACCTGAACCTGGGCCCTCACGAGTTCAGGAGAGACACTGACAAACCTCCCTTTGTCATCAGACGGGTTTGTATTGGCTCCCAGGTGCTTCCAGCTTAAGCTCACTTCAAATGTTGTTCTTTCACTAAATAGCGCTCCAAAAATTCATTCAGCTCTTAGTTTAGATGAATGATTTTTTCTTCTCCTGAACAGTCTGTCACAGAGTGATTTAAATGTAAAATTAACTAAACTAAAATTTCTTTTATCCGCTTTAGTAACAGACAAAGATCAAATTCTTTCATGAATATCTTGGTTAAATTCTCTGAGGCCCCATTTCTTTTCTTCCAGCACACTAGACAGGATAATAGGTGTATAAATTCGGCTTGGAAGTAATTGATATTAGTATTAAAAATTCCTGAATAAGACTTTAAAGAAAGAGTGTCTAGTCACATTATGAACATTTACACTTCCTCTCTTTCAACTTTTTTTTTATGTTGTCATCCTGTGATATTTGGAACACTTCCTTTGCTCAGAGCTACATCTGAAACACTTTGACTTAAGAGTTCATAACATAAGGACATTTTGCCATACATGAAAAAATTGTCCTGAAATTAGGTACTTACTTAAAGAAATTGTGTGTAGCTCTTTTAAAATGAAGGAGCTACATTTCCCAGCCACCTGGAGGATCATATACGAATTTTTTTTCCCCTTCTTAATTATTCTTCTTATTGCAACTATTCCCTGATTTTAGAAAATCACTTTGAATTTGTAGGGGCAGAAATGGGATCGTTCTTATTCTGTGCTGTGTTATTATGATTTCTCTACAGTTCTGGGCGCTTACCACAACCAGTTAGATAATCAAGTGGTTAAATAGTTTGCTTCTACCTTATATTTTTACCTAGTATCAGTACTAATTAATTAATAATATATTGTCAAAGTTTAGAAGTTTTATTCTACATATAGCTACCTTTTAGAAATTCAAAATGACCTGGATAAGTCATTAATCATTAATCAATCTACTGTTTCTCTCAAATATTTTTCTTTTAACTCCTTTTATTTAATTCTTCTGGTTTTTGATCTATAGGTGAAGTTCACAGTTTAATTATAGTATCATTAACACTGATTATTGATTTTCAATGCTTGGTTATGTTTGTACAAAAAAAAGAGAAAGCTTGTCTCTTAATTTAGCATGTCCTCACTGTCATGGCCTTTATAGACTGAGAATTCTCCTTTTAGGGCATCTTTACTGCTGAGAACTCTTTTGGCCTGGAGATTTTGTGTTATGAAGATCAAAATTGGATTATATTAAATGTAACTTTTTAATTAGGAAGAGATTCAGATCTCTCTTGGTGAGATCTAAGCTGTTTAGAATAAATATGAGATACCAGGAATTGTTTAAAAAGACTGCAGACGTTACAGATGAAGGAGGAGCTGTCTGCATTTTCCCTTTCTTTGAATAATAGGATATTCAGAGTTTTCTCGACCTTTCTAGCACTGTTTCTGTTTATGCACAGTAATACTAATAATGCCCATGAGCCAAGTGCTATGAAAATAGTCTAAAATAGTATTTAAATAAAGTAAAATATTGCAGAAAATACCAGTTATGGTCTTACGAACAAAACCAGAAAATCTAGGGATTGATACATCTGATACTGAGTATTTTAACAGTGTTTTTGCTTCAGGTTGGACAACCAAGTCCTGGTGCTAAACTTCATTCCTTGTGTTCCCTGCGAGAAAGCACAGCAGAAGCCTGGCCCAAGGCACCCCATGGTCAGTATTTTCTGCTGTATATCTCATAGCTGCTTTTGATTTCTGCAGGAAGCAGTTTTATTTGGGGCTTTTTTATTATTATTTTTGGGTTTTTTTATTTATTATGAAAAACTGTGATGGAGAAAAAGCTGTTAGTTCTTCCTAGGAAAAGGAAGAATGCTGAATAAATTACTGCTTCAAAGGGTGCCCTTGAATAGTTCTTTACCTCATGAAGCTTGGAGCGTAGTTCTACATTATATGAAAATAGGAGAGAATTACAAAGCTCAGACAAGTGCTCTGTTTCACTCCCTTTTTTGTTGAGTTGGATGGTGGAGAAAATCTGCACCATGGTTTGTGGGTGTGTTGATCAGGCTTGGGGTATTGATTATTTTGAAGTTCAGGGGCTCTGTTTCTTCAAAAATGGGTAATGTTTATTTCAGCAGTGTTTGTGAGTAGTGGATCAGTGACTTACCATTATTTATGAGCATGCAGGATGTGCTCCAGTATCTGCTTCAGCATCCTTTGGTATCAGTAAGTGAGAGCTTAATAAAAAGTGTGGGATCAGAAATTTAAGAAAGCGCCCTAAAACTTGATTTTATTGCACATGTCTTACAATATGAGGATTTTAATGAGTCTCATCAGTATTTGTTTATGTGTGCTCTGCCTCATTTTTATTTCATTTCCTCACTAATTATAATTTGTTATACAGCAAATCATTATGAACGTGTTATTTTACATTTGTTCTTTGTCATTGCACTGGGTGCTGAATTTTAAAGGTTTCACATCCCCTTTGGGAACAGATTTGCCAGTCTGTCATGGCTGGATAATGGAGCAGACCAGATCATCTGATACCATTGCACACTTTCAAAATGAGCTGGTGGTTACTGGCCAATATTTAGTACACCAAAATCTACTTCTATTAATATCCAGAGGAGCCTTTGGTCAGCTGTCTGTCTTGAGGCTTAACTGTAACTTCTGAAAAGAACAGATCCTCAGGATTAGAAATCTTAAATACAGACAGTACACTTTAGTCCCTTTTTGCTTTTCCTGGGTCTCAGTATGAGAGTTGTTCAGTAGAAACTGATAGAACAGACCAAGAAAGTAGATTTAATGATTGTGAGGACAAAAAGGATGCTTTGTAAAAGATTTCATTTAGGAAATTAAGAAATGCAAATGTGTTTTTGATTTCTTCTGTCATGGACCTTTTTTCCTTGTCCAGATCCTTCTCCTCGCAACAGCTACAGATCCAAGAAAACTGAAGTGAGTACTTGCAAGTGGTTTTCCTTACACTATTTTTTGGGAAGCTCTGAGCTTCCCAGTCTTCCTTGGATTGTCTTGCATAGGTATTTTTGAAATGTTATCTACTGTAGTATCAGAAGCAAGAAAAAGGACATTTTAAATCTGATCTAGCCCGGTTAAGGCCTGCTGACAGATTATTTACAAACATTAGAAGGAAACTTTGCACTCTTTAAAGATAAAGATGCCTGCACATACAGAATTTGCTTTTCCTTGGCATTAAGGCTTGCAGCAAGGCCATAGAGGAGCCTTTAAAGGCTGTTTGCATTTGCCTTACCAGTTATTCTGAGAGCATTGTTCATTCTGGAAATCTGTGTGAAGATGGCACTGGTACAACTGGGAAACCACTGTTGTGTTATTTCACATCCTTTCTTTTTCATATTTTGGTTTGTTTGTGTATTAAAATAATCTAGAGATTAACATCAGGATTGTTTTGGGTTTGGGAGGTTTCATTCTTTACATCCTCATTTAGTTAGTTTTTGCCTGTGTTCCTGAAGTACTGTAAAAATTGTGGGTTTAAGCAGTTATGTGTGCCCTCTAGATTTCCTAATGGCTGGGAAAATTGATGATAATAGGCATGAGAAAGAAAGGGAATTATGAGGATAAACCTTGATGTCTATGTCAAGCACACTTTTGTCAGACTAAACTTTTATTACCAAGGGCTGTTGTTCTGTGTATTGTGTGAGTCTAATATACCCTGCTGCCTCTGGATTGTTCCATGGGTTGTTCAGGCTCTCAGGCATTATTCTGAATCTGTGAGATTCCTGGGAAGCCTTTAATTGTGCACTCAGAAAAGTTGATAAAAGGGCTGTTGTAGAAGAGTTTCACACAAGATGGTGTGTTAGTTACCAACAGATTCTTCTGAGACTTGTTGATTTACTTTAGACCATGGATTTTTGCATGAATATACAATCTGAATGAGTACATAATCTTTAACCTTTCAGGTTGAGAAATAAAAATGTGAAAATTGTACGTCTTGATATTTGTAACACATTTTAGTTTGGTGGGATATTTTTCAGGCAAAATCCACCAGTGGAAAAGGCTTGGATAGATCTGCTGTCTGCAAGGAGGATGTGAGCCCAGATCCACCCAACAGAGAGTCCCATTCTGCTGCTTCTTTGGAGTGTTCAGCACTTCCAGCAGCTCAGGAGTCTCTGAGTTCTGTGCTGAGTCGATCTTCTCTGAGAGAAAGGTAATGCCCTGGTTTTGTTCATGACATTCTGGAATTAGGAGCATGAGCTGATGGTAGCAGTGCCTGCATTACTGTAGTTTGCGTGTTTGGAGGTGTGAGGGCTGAAGACACTGAAAAATCTTCCTATAACAGCTGTGTTGTTGTTTGGCTTCTCCTTTTGCTGTGTTTGCTCTCACCTCTGCTTGATGATGACAGTCCTAGTAACATGGCAGTGAAAATGTCTGAAACAGTGACATCCCAAATTTCAGGCTGCCAATGTCCATCTGGAACAGAGAATTAATAAATCATCACTTAAGTGAATCATCACTGTTTCGGAGGGGATTGGAATTTCAGGAATGTAAATACAGATATGTAAAAATGGCAAAAAAACTCTACAGTGGGTACTTGGAAACCTTTTTTCCATCTGACTTTTCACAGGTGCTTTTGAGCACGTACTTGTGGCTGTGCTCTACTCAGATGTGTGACTGGTGTGCATAACATGCTTGGACTAGCTTTAATCTACTCAGTGTGCTGTTTTCCAATATTTTCACTTTTTTGAAACCCTAAAATCGTGATTTTAATTTTTTAAGTGGAAGTGTGGACCTCTGCAGCTATTGTGTGTATATTAACTGCTATATTCCAATTATTTTTCTTATCTATCTCACTGACCCCAGTGGGACTTGTTTGGGGACAAGTTAATTTGATGGATTTCAGTCCCTGGGTTAATATTTTGGGTCAACTTCCCAGCTTCAGTATCTTATGAGGGTGGGATGGAAGAAATGTCAAAAAAGCAACAGATGGTTTCATGCTTAAGCCCTTCAATCCTTCAAGGAGAGTATTCCCTGCTTCCTGCTGAGTAGAACGTGTTCTTGGTGCTCCTCTTGTACATTCAGGTAGCAAGATACTGGTTGTCCTTCTGGGAACAGAAAATCTGTATGAAAAGCTAGGCCTGTGTAAGCAAATAGATAAAATAATTGGGAGGAACTAAGCATTGAACTGATGCCCCATCCTAAATGCTGAGGATGTCCTTTGGTGACCAGTTCACACTCTGTTGCCATTGGTACCAAGTTATTCAATGCTTGCAGGTTGCATTTTACAGCCTACACACAGCCTAATGCTTGTTTCCAAAATAGAAAAACTGTCTCAGTTTTTTCTTTAAAAAGAAAAATGACAGATGGCAGGTGGGGACTGAATTTTTAATACTCACAAAGATCAAGTTGGTGTTTTAACATCTTCCTCTGCTTGAAAACTTGTTTGTTAGTTGTTCTGTGTAATAGTGCATCTTGGAAAGTGTTACACAGAGATTAGGATGTATCTGGGGTTTGAGGGAGTTTTCTTTGTCATGTTGTCTGCCTCCCCACCCTCCTCTGACAGTGTTTGTGCATTAGTTACCCATATCTGGGGAGAGATATTTTCATGGTAACTTTTTTATCCTTTCTTCAGCTGGACTCTTTTTGGGGGGGTTTGGGCTAAATTATATACACATTTTATTTAGAACTGATGGGGTGCCTTCTGTTGATAGCAGGGAAGTCTTGTATGTTGTGAGCTGCTGTTACATGCATAGCAATTTAGTCGTCTGCCAGTTAATCTTGACTTGTCTGAATGTTCTTGCTTTTTCTCTTTATGAGCCTTTCTCCAAAAGAGATTTCTGATCTTTTGAAATTATGTTTTTTCTTCTTATTAAAGCAAATGTTCTCAGCTCTTCAGAGCTGTAACATCTCTTTATGTAAAATATGTAACCATTTACTTCTGTCATCAGAAGAAAAATGAAAATTAGAAATAAAGGGCATAGTCTAAAAAAAATTGATCTCTGTTTCATGCTTCTGAGATAACAATGGTTTTAGCTGATTGTGTACTGAGAGTTATACTTGGAATAACAAACATGGTTTAGAGGTCAGTGTTTGGAAATGCATGCAAACGCTGCTGTTCAGATCATAGAAATACAGAGGAAATCAGTGCACTGAAAGTAAAGCAGTGTTAGCGTAATTGCAAGAATATGGAGTCTTATCTCACAGTATTTGGTGTTTATTTCCTCAATTTTATTTTGAATTACAAAGACAAATTGCTTAGCATATCCAGGCTACTGTTTTTAATGCTAGTCAACCCACAGTCAATATGAAACTTGACTCCCCACCTCAACCTTTAGTTCCCTCTTTTCCCTTTCTTTTTTAAAATGTAGTGTGAAGTGGCTGGCTGCCTTCTTGGGAGTGTGTCCTAGAGCCCTGCTGTGTGGTTGTAAAACCACTGCAATGCTTTTCAGTGAGACAGAAATTGGGGTCTTGTGCAAGGTCCTCTGAGCCTTTTTGTATCCTCCCTGGCAGTTTCCAGTCCTTTTCTTCGAGCCTGCTAGAGACACCACAAATCAATCCTCTTCCCCTTTCCTCTGAGATTTCAGTCAGAAGCAGAACTGTAAATAGATTTACTATTGAACAAGACAGCCAAGTTTTGAATATTGATTTTTCATACCTTCTTTTTACATTTTTCATTATGTACATCTAAGGAAAGCATTTGCTGACGTTGGGAGCTGATGCTCAGCAGTGTTGTGGCCATAGAAACCTCCAGAGGTCCCTTCCAGCCCTCACTATTCCATGATTCTGTGGGGTTTGATTGCAGCTCCTGTGCAGACCAGTGGCACTCACAGACCCTCGAGTTCCTGCCCCACAGTGTGCCAAGGCAGTTGTTTGGTTGGTTGTGCAGAGAGGAGCATCCTGAGCATCCTGGAGCATTCACACTCTGTCCTTTCAGTGCTGCTTCAGGAAAGCAAAGCTGGAATCCAGTCCTTGCTTTCATGGTGCACAGACATCCTCACACACTCCTAGAAAATGGGGTTTTTCTTGGGGACTTACAAGCTAAGCCTTCCTTGCAGCACTGAAACCTGTAGCAAAGTACCTGTCAGAAAGAAAAGGAGAAATAGTGAGATGGATTCCATAAGGTCAAAAGTCCTTTGAACAGAGCTGTGTGCTGGCACAAGAAAAATCCTTTCCTCAAGAGACTACAACAATCATGGGAGTATTTGACTATTTCTGTTATGTGAGAGGCAAAGCTACTTCTTGTGCATTTGGGATCAAAGGAGTCTTTTTCCTGCTCTGGAAATAGCATGCTTCTACTTTTGTTTCCAGATTGAAGTGCAGTTCGATAGCTTTTTTCATCTTCTCCTGGTTATGCTGCTGAAATGTGATCTTACCTGCTATAAAATTTAACAAAAACCTAAGTTCTCTTTGAAGTGAGACAGAGGTTAAGTGTCTGGATCAGATGCCCTTCTGTAATATTCCTGTATTGTTTTACTACCATCTTTTTATATTCTCATTTTCCTAGTACTAGGGGAAATAACAGCATGAAGTTAGATACTGGTAATGATAGATATAATGACAGATACTAATAGATATTAATGAAATATTAAATCCTATGTGAAGTCCTTGAAAACATCAGTTACCAGAATTTTTAGCTTCAGTGATCTTGAAAACAATCATCCCAGGACCTTGAGGGTTATTTTATTGCACAGCAAAAACCAGAAACAGGTGGTTCACCTGATATTTTAGAGACTGGCATGCATCCTGAGGCAGGGTTTGCTTCTGTGAGAGCATATGTTTTAAGTTTTGAGATCTCCTGCTAAAAAGTAGAACACAGAAAAATATTACAGACTTCTTAGGAAAAAGCTTGCTCTCAGGAGAGGCTGCACCTTGGTTTCCTGCCTGTTTCTAGCCATTTAAAAGTCGTTATTTCTGATTTTTGGAATTTTCTTTGGTAGGAAGGTTTGGGGTCTATCAGTCTCATCTCTTGGGAAAGTTTACTTCTTTTGCATTCTTTAAATATTAACTTCTGGAATCAGCACTTGAATATCATTTATTTCATACTAGATTTGATGAAAGTGAGCAATACCTAAGCCTTGTTTCATATTTTTGACCAAAATCTGTACTATTTGTCATCTTCATTGGTTGATTTTGCTGCAGCAGTAAGTAAATCTGAAATTGATTGCTGTCAGAGCCATTTTGTGTATAAATTAATAAATTCAGAGAAGATAGAAGGTAATGGAAAATCTTGCAAAGAGCATAAGGAGGTGCAGCCAATTTGTGACAAACTAATGATTTAGTACCACAATGACTTCAACCTTTTGGGAGCAACTGCTCAGCTGGAGTATTGACTTTCATTGAAATTTCGGAAGCTGGCTGCCATTAAGTTTCACTTTTTACATGATGTATATTACCACAGTTGTAAGGGCTGGATATGGAAAGGAGGGGGGAAAAAAGCATTTACTAATTTAAGAACTCAACACTGAATGTGTCTCAAGTGCTTCAAGGCCCATCTATAAACAGGGATTTGAAAGTAAGAGAAGCTACGTAGAAAGCATGAGAAATTTTACCTTTTTTTTCATGTCCTGCTGAAGAGGGAGGGCAAATTGGTGCACAGTTAAGCTGTCAGCTTCTGCTTCCAAATATTTAGGCATCTGTGCTCTTGATTTAAGGCCCTGTCTGTGTGTGGTTGTTCTTGCTTTGTAGTAATATCCTGCCACTGTGAAAGCAGCCACCCTCCCCCAGTTCCAGCATTGTGAGAATGGAGGGGGTTTGTGTTGGTGTAACTTCATTACAATTCAGGCTTCTGTGTACAAACAGAGCCTCTAAAACACTTCGGGGCTGCATCATAGCCTTTCACTTTTAAAAAAGAAGCTAACCAAATTGTGTCCTTGACTAAATAGACCAGGAAAACCCTGAAGTGTAGCCCAGCTTTTCTGTTGTGCCTCCTTACAGAGCAGCATGCACTGCAGAGCAGGTCCATCCTGCTGAATTACCACCTCATGTCTCTAAAATGAGAGTAAAGCAATGTCCTTCCCTGCTATGAGTGCTGAGTAAATACCTGCATAGATATAAAATACATGGAGTGGGTTTTTTATTTCAGAGTTAAATATTTTTGGTTTTGTTGAGGCTCTCTCCTGTTCCATGTGTAAATTCTTGCAGATTGTGGTTTTTTTCAGGTTATACTCAGCTTTAAGTGTTCTTACTCCCTCTTCCCCCCAATTACAGCAGTGTTCTCTGCAGTTGTGAATCTGGTATTACAGGACTTCATTGATTTCTGTCCTGTGATGGTTTGTCCTTGTATGTGGCTTTGCTCAGCATGAGGACTGTGTCTTTGAAGCTGATGAATTCTCGTGGAGGCCACATGCACAGAATTGTTCCCAAGGCAGGGGAGTGCTGTGGTGGGGGAAGGGGTCATGAGAGCCACAGCAAATACTCTGCACAAGGTTCTGGCATTAATTCTGCTGATGTGAAATGTATTAACATCTCCTGCTGAAATGTGATATTAATGTTTTTGCTATGTGCAAGTGGATGATTGGATTGTCTGACATTTAAAAATTCCTATTTATTACAGCTCTCAAGTTTGCAAGCTGCTGTTTGAGTAGAGTACATGGGTGGATGTATCCTGTTTGCATTTCTAATGGAGTGTTTCATCCTAACGGATAAAATTATACATGAAAATAGTCTTTAGCACAAAATCTACACTGTCTGTTTGGCTTCTTCTTTTTTTTCATCAAGGTAGATGTTGTCTGTATGACCTTAAAAAAATCCTTATCTCATAAAAGAAAATAAATGCCTTTTAGTCACATTACAAGGGAAAATGGTTCTGTTTCCTTGATCGGACTCAACACAACATCTTTGAAATTAATCTTGAAAAGTTCTCTGATTGATCTGGCTTTTTCTAGGTCACTGAGCTATATTTCCAAAGTGTTTATACAATCTATTGGAATCAATAAACAATTTAAACTGATGTAACTGCAGAATGTTTGCAAGTCCCAGGGAAAATTGAAAGTATGACAAAGAATACAGCTGTAGGAGTTTATTTCGTTTATCAGGACAAACAGTCATTGAAATGAAATGACTTTCCTTTGAACGCTGCAGTATGATAGTGACACCTTAATCACATAAATAAGTAACTGGTGATTTTAAAGGGTTGTTATTGGTGATTTTGGGCAAATGGAATCCTTGTATTTATAGTCCTAGAAACTGTGCAATAAAACCTGTTTTATAAATTATTTCCAATAGGAGAGTTAGAATATCATAAAAAGGTTTCACTTCAGATTATAGTTGTTGTGTTTCAGGCATGATTTGATTTTAGTTTGCATTTCAGGCATGATTTTATTAAAGTTGCATTTCAGTTGGCAAATATTAACAGTATTCTTTAAACGTGGATTAGACCCGATAGTTGTTGCTAAAATTAGGCAATAAAAATACTAGAAAAGCTAATTAAAAAGAAGCTGATACCATTTTTAATCACACTTAAGGTTTTGATTTTTTCTTTTTTTTTTTTTTTTTTTTTNTTTTTTTTTTTTTTTTTTTTTTTTTGGTAAATGAAGTTTGGGGGTCTGGGTGAGGAGCCGACATTTGTTATACCACAGCGCACACTAGTGGACTGATCCATAAAATCACCTGGAGAAAGAATTTAATAGTTCTCGAATTAAGTACTTAAATCTTCTTCCTGCAGACATAGCCATGTATTTTCTAACTGAATACAATAGCAAGCTGGGTTTTCTTTTTTTTCCCCAAAAGTAAATACATTTATCTCCAAGGGTATTTGTAAATTTACGATTAATAACAATGACCTGAAGTCTTACATACGAATTTCATAAAATTTATTTCCCAAAGGCAATCTATTCCAACTTCTCAGAGCAAGCCACCTGAGTGCTGGAAGAACAGCAGCTGCTGTATAAATAAGGGAAAATGCCATGACTTCATGGCTCTATCTTTTATTTGTCAAGTGGGAAATGACTCACTCTTACTGCATCTAGGATGCAGATTTTTAAACATGCATTTCAGAGGTCCTTTAATATCAGTAAATGTTGTAAATTCTAATGGGAAGCCATTAGATGATAGCATCACTGCAGACCCTTTCCCTTACCTCTCTTCCTTTAAAAAAAGAAAATGTGGGGGTTTTTTTCATAACACAGGTGGTAGAGCACATGCATTGTAATGCAGTACATCAAATAGGGTTTGACTGCATTAGGGAAATGAACATTCCCCTCTGCTTAAGGGACTCACACTTCTGTTTCTTTAAAGGCAGTGCTTTTCTCTCCTAACAAAATTCTCAAGCCATTTTACTTTCTTTTATAAGAAATTAGGTGAAATCTTTTAGTGCAACAGATTGCTGGATTCTAGTGTGCAAAACAATTGCACAGCATGAATTTGCCATACATGCTCTTGGGTTTGGAATTAATTGTAAAATTCTCAGGACAGTCATTTGAATTCTGTAGTCAGCTTGGTGAAAATTGCTGCTTGTAGTGATCCAAGGATAAATAACAATAAAATCATTAGAAACATCCCGATATAGATTATATGTTATATACTTCCAATATTGTGTCATTTCTTGGCACCCTTTCCTGAAGAAAAATAGAAGCATTTTCAAGTAGGTGAATTGATTTAAAGAAACTCATAAATAAGCTGAAAATACTGGTGCTGTTTAGAACAAAGAGAGAGATATTTTGGACATACAAACAACAATAAGTGAATCCAAATGAGTTGCTTAGATAAAAGAGCATACAAGAAGATTACTCAAAAGCAAAAAACTGGTCACTGTCTAGTTATATTTCAGTCTCTGTCTCTGGTAATAAAAGGAATGATCCAAAAGATTGCAAAGAACTCTATGCCCTGCCTGCAACCTTCAAGATAATCTGTCACTTCCCACTTTGGGGATCCTGCTTCCATTAATTTTTACATTGCCAGTCTGCTTGTTTTGCACTGAAGCTTTCTCTGTGTACTTGGTTTGTTCTTTTTGAAAGGAGCTGAGCAGTTCCTTGGCTGTATTGAAATTTCTGGAGGTTTGGTGAAGGTGAACTGAGCCAGGCACGATCAGACTGGGGATTTGAGTGTGATAGACTGGATAATGCAGGGAATGTGATAGCTGGGAGAGAGGGGGGCAGAAAAGCTGGCAAACTGTGGAATCTCAGCCCTCAGAGTCATGCTGTTTCTGGACTGCATCAAATTTGGGAAGCCACCAAAGCCCTTCAGTGTTGCTGGTGCTCCTGCTGCAGCTCCGTGCTGCTGCTGTTCCCGGCTCAGATTGCAGAGCCTGCCCTGCCAGCTCACAGCTCACCAGTGACCCGTGCTCACTTTGGCATGATGCCACCACATCAGGAGCTTTTCTGGGTGCCAAGTCAAGCTCTCAGAGCTTGGGCAACATTGAAATGAAGATGCATAATCTTTATTTGGTGCTCTGTTTCCAGTGTGATGAGCTTGTGTAAGTAAGCATTTCATAGCTTCACACCAATTATTCTTTCCTTCTGTTGATGTCTCTCTTTTAAAAAAATACATTTTTTTATGTAATAACATAGTTGGCATGTAAACAATCATGTTCTCAAAATCTTTGTTGCCTCCCTTAAGAGACTGAGAATAATTATTGATATGAAATTTCTGTCAGTTTCTGAACTTGCTCAGAAGGATGAGCTTCTGAGAAGAATGAGCAGGGCTCTTTTTAGTAAAGTGGAGAAAAGTAATCCAAAACATAACAAGGTAAAATCCAAAAGTTGCTGTTTGCTTTAAATTACTTATACCAAGCAGCTACCTAGCTTTTAAAATAAAAAAAAAAAACCTTAAAATGCAGTTCCTCTTGTGAAATAAAGGTTGCAATTGCAAGTTTTTGACTCCACGTGTTTTCCAATTTGCATGCAATTGAGTTACCTTCCTTTTGATTTATTCCAGTGAAAAGAACTTCACGTGTGCAACACTTCCTTTAAAGAGAGGCAAATGAAACCTGATCACTGGGAATAGTGTAGCTTTTTTATTCTGTAGGGGCCACACAAACATTACAGAAATATTTCTCAAGTTACAAAATCATCAACATTTTCTATGTTTTTCATCTTCTGTTGGTGTTGTGGCTATTTATGTTTATGCACTGTTTATGCACTGCTTTTCTTTACTTGTACTCCAGAGAAGAATCAAATCGAAACATTGTGTGTGTTCCAAACAGAAGGAGGTAATGCATGCTTCATAATTAAAAGGAAAAAGAAATCTGAATCATAGACTTTTTCAACAAGAAAATATTTCTTCACTTTGTTTTTCCTCTTCCTCTTGCAGATTTGGCACTGGTTGGCCTTCACCAGCAAATATTGATGAGATCCATAAAAGAGTGAAAAATATTTTAAGGACACACAGAGCTAGACAGCGCCTCATATTTGTAAGTTTGACTGCAAACTCAATCTTTTCCCTTCTCCAAAATGGCTGAAAAAGAGAATTGTGCCTTGGATTTATTATAATGTTGTCCTTTGGGACAGCCTTGATTGTAGAAAGATGGGATTGGTGTGTGAGCTCAACTGCTTCACACTGATTTCAGAAGCCTCCTTATCTTTCACCTTTATGAAGTAGTACAGGCAACCCTCTCATGGCTTACTGAGAACAATTATATTGGAGTGTGGGATTTTTTATATTCTGATTCTCCACTCCCAATTTAAGCAACAAATGTTACAGATGTGTAGAACATCAAGGCTTAACATGTTGTGCAGCTGCACATCAGCAGCTGCATGTATCCAGCTGTTTCTAGAGCTAATATTATTCTTCAGATGTGTGATTTTTTTTTTCCCCTAAATTACCTGGCTTTCAATGAACAGAGCTCTTTATCTTATGAGATTACACCCAGGAACAGAATATTTTACCTTTGATGAAATTTTGAGGTGTGGTTTTAGACAGACAAATTTTTTCCTATTGTGATTTTGAGAAACACAGTTTCTCAAAAAAATGCCAGAGCATTGTACCAGCTGAATAAGAAGATTGTTCATCTGCAGAGAATTTAGAATCTTGAGTGTGAGGTGAGGCAAAAGAAAGGTAGAATAAAAAGGTTGTAAAGATGAGAGATGATTATGATTCAATGATGATAATGATGATTATGATTTAGGATGATGAGGAGCTCTGGCATTCTAACTCAGAAATGTTATTGATGGGGTAGAAGAGACATAAGTCTCCTAAAGTGGAGAAAGACAACTTTTTTTGCTTCAGTTTCTCTCTTAGAAAATAGAATGTTGACAGAAATCTGCTTTTGGTGCAGTTTCAGGTTGCTGCTGTCCCCAGCTGTCCACCTTTCCCCTCAGCTTCAGTTCCCTGTTTCAGTGGGAGTGGGATAAAAAGTGTGAGATGATGCCCTGATGTCCCCCCTCACATTCCCCACAGCAAGGGCAGATGCAGATACCTGGGATGGGGGGACACTCCTGGCTACAGGAAACCCAGGGCAGAAGTGATCTTTGTGGTCTTGATCCTGTCCTGCAAGATGGATTGAAGAACATCTGTCTTCACTCTGAATTCCTTATTTATTTCTTTAGTTGTTTACTTGTTTGTTTATTCATGTCCCCAGATTTAGCCATATTGGGCAGCTCATTGTCTCACCTCATTCTCATTGTCTCACCTCATTCTCACTTAATCTGATTATTTTCTCATTTCTGTTCAATGTTCATTTTTAGCTTAGTTGTTGTGGGTTTTGTTTTTAACTCAGAAAAACCTTGTCTCATCCATACTAAGATTGTTTGATCTAGTTCATGCTGTACCTCCCTGAGTTATTATATGAATGTTATGATTTTGTGAGCTGCTGCCTCTCAAATAGAGGATTCCCATGACATTTTTCTGTGTTTCAGCCACTCAGAATGGGTAAAAATCATGTCAAATGCTCCCCTGATGTTTCAATTAACTTAAGATAACAAACTGGATTTCCTGATAGTCCAACACCTACATGCAATGAACACTTGCACAGTCTGAACCATCTCCAGTGGTTCTTGACTGCTTTCCTCATACAGTAAACCATGACTATGATAAGGAGAGTTGGATGGTTGGCTACATGGTCTCTCCATACAGTCAAAAAGACTCTGCAAACATTGTGGTGGAATTCTTGAATTGTGATATTTTCTGTTGGCTTTCTCTTGGTTCACCTTGTCACTTCCAGAATCAAACACTTGCTGAATCCTCACAGGGATTAATAAACAGAGATGATACTGTGTCCTCTTCTGTTGGAAAACCTTGTGTTTCTGGCCTAAAAAAATCCAGCTATTATGGTATTTAATTACCCACCTGATCAAACCAGTGATGGCAAAGGACCATTTTTCTCACTTTGTTTTCTTCCACTGAGCAAAAGGAAGGCAAGGATGCTACAGAGAAGTCTTGTGGTGTCAGATAGTTGTGTAGAGCTGGCTCATGAAAGCTGTGCTAACAGCAGCTGACCTAATCAAAAAAGAAAAAAAACATATCCTTGCAGTGAGTGCTTTAAAATACACCAAGATAGGTTGTGCTTCCCCACATGGCCCAAAATGGAGGCTGTGGTGTTTCTCAGCAGATGGCTGAGGTAAATTGGTCATCTTGAAAGTGAGGGAGTAGTAAAGCAAGTGTACTGGCAATGTGGTGAGCACATTCTGGCTTCAATCTAGATCCTCTTCAAACTTTGAAAGGTTAAAAAGTGCCTCTTATTCTGTTCCACTCCAAAGACCCTAATACTAAATAACCATTCCCAGAAGCATACAGCTGTGTCTTCCAAAATTTCATTTTCATATTGCTCTGCAAAATAGTGTGACTGGAGCCCTGCTGCAGATTCCTTGGGGTGTCCACTGTACCCTTCTGCTGTGACATTGTGACAGTATTGTAATGTTTCCATCTTTTTTTTGCTTTCCAGAACATAATTTGCCTCTGGCAAATGCTGCAGAATTTTATTTATCACTGTACCCCATTTCCTCTTCAGTGCTTTGTAGTCTGTGACTGCTGAAGGAAGAGAGCTCTCCTGTTTACAAACACACTTATTACCTTGTATTTCACCACAATAAATTCTCTCAGGTTTTTCCTCATCCATATGCTGCTGTTCAGCTTGCTCTGCATCTTATTGCCATCTACCACTATATTTATTGTCTTTTCTCCCAGTTCTGTGTTGCCAGCAAGTGTGATTATTTTTACTGCAGTCTTTTTTCCAATTATTTCTCCTATAGCATGAAAGATGACTTTGTTTAGTAATCCTTACAGCAATTGACTTGTGCTGAAAGCATCACTTAGTATCACCCCTTAAGCAGGGTCTTTGCACTTCAGAGTAGAGTGAACATGATTGTGTGTGCTGGAATTTCTACCATCCCATCTCAGGCGAGCAGCTGGCTCCCTCCACATGGGTGTTTTGTTTCTTTCTTACTTAAGAGGGCAAATTTGGGTTAATTAATGTCTAGATAGCATTTGGAAGGTAAAACTGCATTCTAGCAACTGAGAATACCTGGCTGAAGGGTCATTAAGTGTATCAGATATTTTTTAAAGTTCAGTAAGCATGTATTCAACCTTGGATATGAAATTCAAGAATTGAGATATGTGCAATGCTTCTGCCTTGTAAAACACATGAGATAGATAACATAATATGTTTTAGGTGTTTTTTCCCCTTTCCTGCAAGGAACACAAAAGCAGGAAGTAGTAGGTTTCATAGCATTTTGCCAGTGTGTTTATTGGGGTTTATTGAAGCTTTTGCTGTCTACATAGTTCTCTAGAACTACACTGTCTAGAAATTCTTTCCAGTTTATTACCTGAAAATTATTAGCTGAATTGTGCTGAACTTAATTAAAAGTGTTCATAAATGGTATTTGGCTCATTACACTTTGTCCCTTTCTCCCCCAAGAAATGTAAGCACTTTAATAGTCCTCTAAATGGAAAGAAAGTATTTTTGAAATGAGATCATTGTAATCAGAAACCAAGGTAATGAGAATTTGATTTCTGGGTTTTTTTAGGATGATTTGCCTCAGACAAGAGAACCTACAGATAATAAGCCCTTAACTGTGAGTGAGCTGCGGAGCAGGTATGGAGTTTTTCTCTGACCAAGACAAAACAATCATACTCAGTATTGCCCCTTACATTCAGGTACAAATTTCTCTTCCCATTTTGAGCTTTGTCCTGTATTGCACAGGGAAGAGGTTTCAGGAGGCGTTACTCGTACTAAGCTTTCTCACCTAAAAGCAAAATACAGTTAAATTAATTGTGCCTTTGATGTTCTTTGGCACTGTGTCAGTATAGTCTTCATAAAACACTAGCTTTGGAACTGGGCTTGGCTATAAAAATGATTCTTGGGCAGACATTTCTGGAATTTGTCAACCAGAGGGCAAATGTCACTTAAAATAATCACTTGGTTATTTTTCCTTTAAAACTATGGGAGTGCAAAAATAAATTTAAGTTTATTTAGTAATATGGTTTGAGGCTCAGTTTTTGGATTGTCCTTTTTTTGGGGGGGGGGGTTTGGCAAAACAGATATTTGGAAAAGAAAAGCATTTTCCAAAAAATACAGCAAATTTATATGGTATAGTTTAGTGATTCAGCATGCTGTATTTCAGAAGCTTTCTTGGAAACCTGAGATCTTATAAACCTGGTTTTTGTACATTAATTACTCTGTGTGCTCCTCACATACATGACCAGGGTTTAATTTGATAATTTGCTTATAAGATACCAATGAAATTGATTTTTATTACTTCTGTAGTAGAAGTTACCATTACTGATCTTCTATGTGTATGCACACAGCATTTGATACAATGTTTTGAGTACATATTGGAGGAAAGATACTAAGTATTGGAAGTCTTTTTTGAGCTCCTATGGCTTTTCTGGTTTTCTTTATATTAAGGGAGAAGTCCTAGAACTGAGGAGCTATATTTGAGAGGTGTTGCCATTAGAAAAGGCTTTATTTTGATAATTAATTATCACACACTGTTTTCTAACAATGGCGCCCCAAATCACCACTATATACACCTGAAAGGAGGGTATTTCAATATGGGTACCATAACAAACTTCTTCTTGAAATTTATAAGCTCCAAAAAGTTCATTTCTGATTTGCTGTCTTCTTTAAAAATCCCTGTGATTTGTAATCCCCTCTGTGCAAGGGATTACTCCAACTTCCATATGGTTGTGAAGTTGCTGCTGCATTTGTGTCTCCTGTACTGTGCTCACTCCTGTATTCTGTGTAGCCTTTCTGCTCCCTTATCCTTTGTCCTGACAGCTGGGGCAATTAAATTGTTTAGGATGTGTTTGTGAGAGAGAAAGTGCAAGTTTTTGTTTTGAGGCAGCTTTGGGACTCTGAGATTTACGCTGAAACTGCAGACCATGAAAAAAAATGGAAAATAAACCTTAATGCTCCCGAATCCTGAAGTGATGGGATATGAAGTGTGGCACTTGGGCTGGGAAAGGACTGCTCCTTGGTTTAGAGGCCAGCAGCACTGGGGGTGAGACATAGAGGCCTTGAGGACAGTCACATTGCTGAGTGCTTGCCACAGTGCTCATAAACAGGATGCAAGGACAGAGACAGAGTTCATGGAAGGACAGGGTACTGTCGACCAAATGCTGGCAGTAAAGTGGATGGATGATTGAAAACCACTGGGAGTAAGGAAAAGGTCTGTGTTTTGTGAAATATTTAGTATATGATTCACTCAGAAAAGAACTTCTGGGACTCTTAAAGGAGATGTATGAGGGAACAAAAGCATATGACAGGTATTTCAGAGCAGGGAGTTGCGTGCAGAAATCCTGCTGTTAATATGATTTGTGAGTGTAATTCCCAGATTGCTTAGCTCAGGTTGTCAGCCGGTTTCCAGTTGAGACAGGACAGGGAATCTTCCCTACCTTGGCTGTAGCTTTGTCCAGGTATCTCATGCACAAGGGGCTGGCTAATGGAAATGCACGAAAACACACAATCCCTCCAAAAAGAGAAGGGAAAATTAAGCCTTTTTACAAGACTTTTTCAGTACCAGAATAAGGAACTTGTAGAACTTACCATTGACTTTTGAGTCTTTACTGCAATTAAAGTGTTGGGGTTTGAGTGTCTTGAGGTAAATTCAGCTTTTAGGAGAAGAAAAGCACAAAGCTGCTGCTGGAAATGGATTGCAAGGAAAAGAGTGTCAGAGCTGTTTGTTGTATAGTTACAAGTGCTGTTTCTGCTTGTTGGCCTGAGAATTCTCCATCAGAAGTGAGGTACAACAAACTGCAGGAAGGAGAAGGTGAAACTGCCGTTGTTGATGAGTCCCCAGGGTGTTGACTTGCCTGCATTTGACACAGGCCTGTATAGCTGCTGTATTGATTTTGGTTGGTAGTTTGGTTTCTTTGTGTCCAAACTGTGAGGCACAATTATCTCAGGATGATAAACAGGTTTAAATTTGCTCCATGCCATTGACTGACTTTAAATGATGGATCCTTTTTGAATAAGTGTGAACGTGGCCTTCCTCTCTTTTTAATGTTGGAGCCATACAAGAGGTCTTGTTTTATTTGGCGTAGGTTGGCATCACCCTAATATTTGAATGTAAGAAGTTTAAAAGCAAAAGTTGAGCAAAAGTTGTTCCTTCTGTTTGGCTTTTTTTTTTGTTGTTTTTTTGGTTTTTTGTTTTTTTTTTTTTAGGGACAGTAGAAGCTTAGAGATGTGAATTTAGAAAACTGATCCTACATCTTCCTCTTCTTCCCCTTTTCTGTACTTCAGATGAAAACCTTGTGTTTTGATGCAGCTGAATACATGTATTCACGGGTGTGGCCTAAGGTTTCTTTCAATTTTGTCATATTTTGGTTGATACTAGCTTGAGGATGAAGTTTTAAGTACTGGTTTGATTGCAGAAGACACGACCATTCATAAATGACATGTATATAAGAAGCTGTAAAGCTTCCCTGTGAAATGTAATCCATTTCCTAAGTGAAGATGGTCACCTTAAACTTCACATTTCCAGTTTCATTTCCCAGAGAACATTTGCAAAAGCTGAAGATAACTCAGTCCTAATTTTTAAGTGTCTTAAGTGCCTAAATCTCTGAGCAGATGTGAAAAATGTCATCTCAGTTGTAATTTTTTCTGGTAATTTTTGAGCTTCTTGTTTCATGCTTTATTACAGGGAAATTGCTCATTTAATTATATGACACAAACCTTTGTTTGGAAAGTGTCAAGAGGAAGCAGATAGTCATGATGTTGAGATATAAACTACTCAGAGTTGTCAGTGTTTTGTAATGATTTTCAGAGTATAAATTTCACTTCATAGATCTCAGGAATAATTTCTCAAAGCAACTGAAAGATGAGCCTGTATTTGTGTTTAGTATTAAAACAGTGACACAGAAGATGGGGAGGGGAAGGAACCCTGGATTGCCACTATATCAAAATGTAGTTGGTAGAAAACTTAATCCATGATGCTTCCAATAGGGCACTTTACAGCTGCAACCACAGTAATTTAATATCTCCCTGATAGATTGTCTTCATATTGAAATAGCTGCTTGTGGTTACAATTTCACCTTCAAAGGACACAAAAGTCCTACTGTGTTGCTCTTGCCTAGTCACAGAGCCTGCAAAAATACAGCAAAATTACTGCAGGTTCTCTGAAAAGTAATTCTATTTGGGGGCATTACAAAGTGTACTCAGATAAGTGGGGGAGGATTTGTGTGAGTGAATAACATTGGGGGGGATGTGGGTGGTTCCCATTTCTTAAAAGTAGCTGCAGTGCAGTTTTTATTTGGTTTGTGGAAGGTAATCCATGCTCAGCAGCTCTACATTGGTATTTCTGCTGGTTTTGTGCCACTGATCCCTCTTCCATATCTTGCTTTGATCATTGTTTCTTATCTTCTTTCCTCTGACAGTTCTCCAGTGCAGCAGAACACTCCTGTTCTCTTGGATAGTGGTGAACGTTGGCCTGGTCCTGCAGCTGTGTACAAAGAGAAGCCTCACAGAGCAATCTTGGAGGAGAGTCTTGCAAAAATATATAGAGAGATGTATGAAAAAACTGCTGGTGCTGTTTCAGATCACAAAACACATTCCTGAAAGTAACTCACCTGAAAATGCATAGTATATAGTATTTGAAACTAAACCTATTTTTATACAACAATATTTGTACTCTATTTTTTTAAGCTGTCTTATGGGTAGGCAGGGTTTTGGAGAAATGGGGATTTGGCCTGGGCTGAAAAAAGGAAATAATTACTTTTCATTCCCAGAAAAAGAAACAATAATCCCTAACAAAAAAATCCGCTCTACAATTAAGCAAGGTGGTGTTGCTCCTTTGAGACTCTGAGCATAGAGTCATTTGAAGACTGAAATATCTGCTGGACATTCCTGTGTAACATCAACTCAGGTTTTAGCTGCAGCCAGTTCTCATTAAATATCTAAATCTGTTTAGCAACTTTAACAGAATTGGTTGAAGAAGCAATATGTCCTGGTGGGCAGAGGGGGGACCCAAAGGGGAAAGTGAATGTGAGTGTTGGTTTAAAAGTGACCTACCTAGGACAAAGAGAATTGTTTTCCAGACAATTGCCTTTGAATAATTTTGGAGAATGGCCCAAACTTTGGTACTGTAGGACCCATAGGCATGGATTTGAAGTAATTTTGAGCACCTTTAGTCACAAGTCTTCTAATACTGTGAGATTTTAAAAGAAAACCACCGAGCCCAGCAGCCTTTGTGTGAGATGAAAGGTCATCCTCACACAGCTTTTGCATTTGAAAGTTTCCACGTTCTCCTAAACGCAGCCATGACATTTGCCAATACACTTGTCATTTTAAAAATATGAATAAGAAAGAACTGTGCAGGGAGAAAGACCAGAGCTAGTCAGCAAGCTCCTTGTATTCTGTACAGGCCTCCTGAAATTCCTGCATCACAATCCCACCTAATTTGGAGCCTGTCCTTCCCGGTCTGCTGGGATCCCGTTGGCAGCAATCACTTCGTTTTTGCTAAAGGCCACCAAATGTTCATCAGCAGTTCGATGCTTTCCCCAGGGATGGAACCTTTTCAGCCTTGCACTGAGCAGATCCCACATTAGCAGACCAGGGCAAATTGCCCATCCATTGAAAAGCTGAATGTTTTAAAAGGGCAAGAGTGTCCATCTCCTGCTTCCCCCCAGAATGAGGAAAAAACAAATGCCTGTTCTGGCTGGCTCCCTCTCTGAGCAAACACAGGCAGCTCCACCAATGCCATTTTACCTGTTGTGATGAGAGAGAGGATAAAGCTAGCAGTACAGATGGCACAACATATGACTGGAACCTGCCAGCATGCCTACATAAACAAAAAGTCAGTCTATTCTGCCTTCCCTCCTTTAATGCTGAGACAACATAATTGATTCGAGAGAGCAGTTGGTGAGCAATTCCGCTGGTGGGAGAGCACATGGAGGGGCTGTGTGCTGCTGTTTCAGGCAAGGGCACTCTCAGAGGAAGTGTCTCACATACAGACATTTCTATTTCTTGTAACTGTTGGACAAGTTGAAGTGGATTAACACTGATAACTTCCTGTCCCTGCTGCCATTTAGCACATTAGTGCTTTCACAGGGCATTAGTGGCACCCTCTCATGACATGGAGAAGTGCTGAGTCACTCTGTGAGCTACCAGGACACTTTTTATTGAAGAAGGGAAAAGCAGAACTTGCCCAAGCTGTGTCCCTGAAGGCATGGAGGCCATGGAGGGTTGTGCTGCCAGGTCTGGTGTTCACTGCCCTCTCCTGACCCCATGTTTGGCCACAAAGGAATAGTTTTCTTCCTGCTCAGAGGAGTAGCTGTATTGAAGTAGGTCCTGAATAGGTGGGGCAGATTCTGAGAAATACTTTCCAAGCTTTTGGTGTAAAACTAATCTGTTGAATCCTGAAGGGTTTTGCAGTTTCCTCTATGTGTCTGAGCCATAAGATGCAGTGTTCTCCTGGCATCCTGCAGTTTTCATTCAATATTCTTTGTGCATTCCCTCCCCAGTGTCACAGCTGAGTAAAAGTCAGTCTTCTGAAGATTGGCTGCTCCCCTTTGGCCTGATCTGGCTCCCTGACATAGAAAACCTCTTTGATTTTTCCCTCCCCAGCAATCCAGCAGATTTCAGTCCTGTTTGTTCACTGTGTGAGAAGGCCTGAATGCTGAGGGGTTGTTGTGGGGTTTTTCTGTGTGTTTGATGAAGGACACAATTTGCCATGAACTGAATACACAAGGGGATGAGAAAGGTTGGGGGCCACTATAAAATAGCAAGGTGGTGCTTTCAAAGGGTCCAAGGAAGGGCTGGAGGATATCTATTTGATTCCCTAGCTAAAAAAGGAAGCATATGGTAATATGGCAACCTTCAGTTCTCATCAAAGATTAAAAATTTTTCAGCAAAGGTGAAAACTGGATGGGGGAAAAAAAATGTCATTATTGAATTTTGACCAGTATGAATATTCTCAGTGTAGCCTTCTTCTGCAACACAACATCAAATGGAGCAGACAGACTGAGTACCTCTGGCCCTGCTCCAGCTGGGAGGGAGATGTGTGTTCAGTGTCTCTCTGAATCAGCTGCTGCAGGAGATGTTCCTCTCCTGGGTCTGGGTCAAAGAGTGCTCTCTTCCAAGCACTGTGCTGGAAATCCAGTTTGGTAAATGGAAAACTTTCCTCTGGAATGTGCCTTTGGACCCAAGTTACTCTGATCTGTCCCAATACCTTCAAGGCACTTAATTTTCAGAGCATTTTCCCTTTCCCTGTTTGCTCAGGTGGCCCTGCCTGCACTCACAGCTCAGAGCATGGCTGCTGCTCTGCCCCTGCAGCCTGGGCAGGGGAGGTTCAGGCACTGAACCAACACAGCAAAAAGCTCTAATTGTTTCGTGCACCTTGCCTTCTAATACAATTTAAATCCCTTCTGTCAAATGCAAATTTCTAGGTGCCTGAGTGGAGCTTTAAATAGCATTTTCTGTGCTCCTTCCTTATCTTTTGCCATCCACAAAGTTCCAGTGACAGTGGGATGGCATAATTCCGCCCCTGTCGTTTTAGCTCCTAAAGGAGAGCTGCCTACTCAAATCTGGCAATAATGGGCCAGATGAGGAGTGAATTGGTGCTTTTCTGTGGAGTCTGTGTCTCTCTTGCCCTCCCCAAGTTATTATAACCCACGGGTGTTCTCACCAAAAGCTGTTCAGCATCCAGTGATGCTTGCAGGATGCAATCAGTGCAATATTTTAATCACTTTCAGTTTAGTGAGTCAGACTCTGCTTCCTACTTGCTCTCTTCCATCTCTCCTATGAATAATTTGGTGCAGTTTAGGGTCTTGGGCTGACTTTAGACAAACTGCCTGCCTGTGTTCAGAAGAAATGCAAATCCATCCTTAGCTGACAGTAGCTGCTTTGGAAATCACTAAGCCATTGACCTGATGTGAATTAAAGGCAAAAATGTCAAACTCTTTAATGATTTGCCTTATCTAAATTTTTGACTTAGAGGAAGAGAAGCTTAAATTGCTCCACTGAGGATAAGAAGCATAGGGATGGCTGGAGTGATGGGAACAGGTAGGAGCAGCTTTGTGAGATGGATGGGGAACAGTGTTTATGCTCCAAAGCTGAGCAGCTTGGGAAGTAATGGGGGCTGTTCTTCAGATTGTGCATCACATGTTTGAATTTTACTCTTACTTCAGAGGCTGCCAAAATTATCAGGGGAGAAAAAAATCTACCTGGAGATGTTCAGAATCTATTTTTGGGGTAAAATAACAGAACATTTAGCTCGGCTCAGTATTAAATAGTCCTTTCCAAACTCCTTCTCATTGTTACCTCAGCTGTAAAATGGGGAGTTTGTGCTCTGTTGAAGCTTAATTAAATGACTGTGAAGTGCTTTGGGATCCTGAGGTGAATGTTAAAGAAATTATTTTATGGAAGCCTGGCTGAAAAATCCCATCTCATCTCCAGGTTACTAAAAAGGCTTTATTTTAATTTCCCAGGTTTATTATGTTTTAATCAGACAATTATTAAACAAATCTTAATCAGATTTAATAGATTTCTATCTTGATCAGAGAGGACTAGAAAAGATAATGAGCTGCTTTACTACATGTGCTCTTAGGAGCTAATCTTTGCAGTTGGTATCTTGCTCAGCTTCTGTCTCCTGCATGATCCAGGTTCATATCCTCACACTGATTGCTCTTATGATACCTTTTTTATCTTTTTTAAAATATAAATTATGTTTTTCATCCTGATGCTTTAGTGCTGTTTGCTCTGTGTACTAGCCAGCACTGTTAACATCTCTCACATCATTTATCCTCATCCTCTCCCCAGGAACAAAGGGTGCAATGTGACCGTGGAAAGTTTTGTGTGGTGTGCAATGGGTTTGTCAGAGAAAGCTGGAAGGAATCTCTGCCTTCCCACTCCATGTATGAGGAATCATTTGGTACATAATTCTGCTCTTCCCAATTTTTAAGCTTGAAATGTTTTCTGAAACACTGAACTATGCAGCAAAATTCCCAGCCTTTTAGCAGTGGTCTCTTGCTGCGTGAATCTGGTAATGTGGAATCTCTGGGTCATAGGAAAGGCCATGGTGTTAATTACTCCAGTGGTCATGGGAGTGATCATTATCAGGATGCTGAGAATTTCTCATAGATTTGTTTGGTAATCAAGGAATTTGAGGAAACTCAAATCAATGAAATTGAGCCTCTTGGTGCCAGTGAGAACACTTGAAGCTGAGAGAGGACAGCACTTCTAGGGCTGATCTTGATGAGCTGCCTCCCTGACAGAAGGGGCGTCTGCCTTAGGTGATGTCTCTGGGAGCAGCAGGGAATTGTTCTTTGCCCAGGTCCTTTCAGTTCCAACAAATGCAGCAGCCTTGTGGGAAGTGATTGAAGCCCCCAGTATTCCTGTTCCCATTGCACAGGAGCTATTAAGCACAAGCCCCCTTGATTACTGTTGGCTTCTGCTGCTTTCCCCATGGAATTCAAAACATCATCAACCAAAGCCCTTCAAAGATGTGGCTGTAGCTCCTTTTATCAGTGTTGGCTTGCCAAAGGCATGGGGTTTGTTCCCATTTTATCTTTGTGAGAAATTCTCTGAAGTGTAGTGATAATTTGTCTGGATGGCAGCATAAAGGAACTGTAATCTTTCTCTTTGCTTGATCTATGTGGAGATTGTGCTCTTTCTTGGTGTGCATTTCCCTTCAGTTCTGGGTGATTGCCTCTGGCCCAGCAGAGAGCTCCTGCAGCCTGAGCAGTGGGATCTGAGCCACCTTCTCACCTCCTCAGGGAAGGGAGTTTGCTGCTGCAAAACAACATCCCTCC